TTAGGAAAGGTGTGCAACAGGGTTGTATTTTCTCACCATACTTACTCAACCTGTATGCTGAGCAAATAATCCGAGAAGTTGGGTTATATGAAGAAAAACGTGGCATCAGAATTAGAGGAAGAATCATTAACAACCTGCAATATGCAGATTGTTATGCACCCTTGCTTGCTGAAAGTGAAGAGGACTTAAAATACATACATCAAGAGGGAACTTCCAGAAATTCAAGCCATATTCAGAAGAGGATGTGGAAAGACGGATAACATTGCTTATGTCAAAAGGATCTAGGCTTAAGGAGGAGAATATTAGAAAAATGTTTACTTGTACTTTATTGAATATCTATGCAAAGGCTTTCAATTGTGTGGACCATGGCAAACTATGGATAGCATTATAAAGTTTGGCCATCCTGGCCTCTAAGGAGCACTCTGGCTGCACTTCTTCCAACATAGATCTATTGGTTCTTTGGCAGCCCATGGCATTTTCAATATTCTCTTCCAACACCGTAGCTCAAAAGCATCAATTCTTCTACAGTCACTGTCCAGCTTTTGCATGCGTATAAGGTTATTGAAAATACCATGGCTTGGGTCAGCCTCACCTTAGTCCTCAAGCTGACACCTTTGCTATTCAACATTTTAAAAAGGTCTTGGGCAGCAGATTTGCTTAATGCAATATGTTGTTTGATTTCTTGACTGCTGCTTCCTTGAGTGTTGATAGTTGATCCAAAAAGAATGAAGTCCTTGACAACTTCGGTCTTTTCTCCCTTGATAAGAATGTTGTTTATTGGCCCAGTGGTGAGGATTTTTGTATTCTTCATGTTGAGATGCAATCCATACTGATCTTCATCAGTAAGTATTTTAAGTCCTCTTCACTTTCAGCAAGCAAGGTTGTATCATCTGCATATCTCAGGTTGTTCCTCCAATTCTGATGCCATGGTTTTCTTCATATAACCCAGCTTCTCAGATTATTTGCTCAGCATACAGGTTGAATAAGTATGGTGAAAGAATACAACCCTGTTGCACACCTTTCTTCATTTTAAAACATTCAGTGTTCCCATATTCTGTTTGAACAACTGCCTCTTGGTCCATGTATAGATTCCTCTTGAGTACAATTAAGTGTTCTGGAATACTCATGCTTCACAATGTTGTCTATAGCTTATCATTATCCACGCAATCGAAAGCCTTTGCATCATCAATAAAGCACAGGTAAACATCTTTCTGATATTCTCTGCTTTCAGCCTAGATCCATCAGACATCAGCAATGATATCTCTCATTCCACGGTGTCTTCTGAATCTGGCTTGAACCTCTGTCAATGTATGATTGTAGCCATTTCTGCATTACCTTTAATAAAACTTACTCACATGGGATATCAAAGATATTGTCCAGTGATTTCCACATTCCATTGGGTTACCTCTCTTTGGAATGGGCACAAATACAGATCTCTTCCAACCATCCAGCCAGATAGTTGTCTTCTAAATTTCTTGGCATAGATGAGTGAGTGCCTCCTGTGCCACCTCACTTTCTTGAAAGATTTCAATTTTTATGCCATCTATTCCTGGTGCCTTGTTCTTTGCCAATTCCTTCAATGCACGTTGGACTTCCTCCTTCAGTATCATTGACTCCTGATCATATGCTACCTCTTGGAATGGTTGAACATCAACCATGTCCTTTTGGTATAGTGACTCTGTGTGTTCCTTCCATCTTCTTTTGATGCTTTCTGCATCATTCAATAATTTGCCCAGAGAATCCTTCAATAATTAAAGTCAAGGTTTGAATTTTTTCTTCAGTTCTCCTAGCTTGAGAAATGCTGAACGTGTTCTTCCCTTTTGGTTTTCTGATTACAGATCTTTGCACATTTCATTGTAATATTTGACTTTGTCTTCTCAAGCTGACCTTTGAAAATTTCTGTTCAGCTCTTATAACTTTGGTGGTAGTAGTTATGTGCTGTGGAGTCTGCTCCGACTCATAGCGACCCTATACAGGGTTTCTGAGGCTGTAAATCTTTACGGGAGCAGAAAGTCTCATCTTTCTCCCATGGAACAACTGGTAGTTTCGAACTGCTGGCCTTAACATTTGTAGCCCGATTCTTAACCACTACACTTCCATGGCTTCTTTAGAGAGATGCAAATCAAAACAACAATGAGATATCATCTACCCCAGCATTAACTGTTATTAATTGCTCTCAAATCAGTTCTGGCTCATATTGACCCTGTAAAGGGTTTCCAAGGAGCAGCAGGTGGGTTTGAACTTCTGACCTTGTGGTTAGCAGTCCATCGCTTATCTGACAGCATTAATAGCAAAGTTTCACAGAACAGAAAACAACAAATGTTGGTGAGGGTGTAACCATTGTAGAAAATGGTATGACACATCCTCAAAAATACCATATGACTCAGCAATTCCTGTACTTGGTTTCTAGCCTAGAGAAAAAGAGCCACAACATAAATAGATATGTGCACACTAATGCTCAGTGTAGCACTAGGCACTAGTCACAATTAACAGAAAGATGGAAAGAGTCTAAATGCCCATCAGTGGAAGAATGGATAAACAAACTATAGAAAAAGAGAGAAATTGTCATCTAAACTGTTTTTTTTTAAATTCTTGAAGTAAACATGCACACAAATCTAATAGTATTAAATGTTTAAAGGGGAACAAAAAGCATCTTAGAAGGGTGTAGAATAAATGAAGCCATCATTGTTCTCGACATCTTAATTTTCTTTCTGTAAGTGATTTTGCATAAATGTCTACCTACACAAATAGACTTTGCATACTTCTGCTTTTTTTTTTTTTTTCACTTACAACACCTGAACTTGGTCATATTGGCATATATTAATCACCCTAACTCTTTTGAAGAGCTGCATGGTATTTCGCTGTATGCATATACCTTAATTTATTTGTGAGTATTTAAATAATTTCCAGTTTCTATCTGTTAATGAACATTTATAAAAGTGAAATTACTGAGTGAAAGAGTATATATTTTAAAGTTTGTTGAGCTGTTTCCAAATTGGCCTTCAAAGAGCTTGCACAGATTTATATTTCCACCAATACTGCCTAAGAGTGTTTCTACATCCTTACCTGCTAGTCTTCCATTGAGATTTAAAATTTCTAGCATTTTAGTAGATAAAAACTGTCACTCCCTTTTAATTTGGCTTTGCAGAATTACGTGCATGTTATTGCTAAGAACTGTCGAGTCATGTCCGACTCATAGCAACCCTGTACAGAGTTTTCAAGGAACAACTAACTGATGGGTTTGAACCACTGGCTTTGTGGTTAGCAGTCCAGTGCTTATCCTACAGCACCACACCAGGACTCATGTTTATGTAATGGAGCTTTGTTTCTCCTGTGAGATTAATGACCTTGTCTGTATTTATGTGAATTTCCTATTTTGTGTCACTAACACATTTTTCATTGTTGGATTCATTGTTCTTTGGCATAGTTCTGGGTTTTTTTGAGAGAAAAAGAAACCCTTTGCTGAGATAGGCTACTGCTTAATAGATAACATATCAATAGATCACAGGAATTCATAAATGTAAATTCCACATAAGAAAATTTACACAGTCATTTACTCAGAACCCTACCAGGAAGTATGAGTGTGGTCACACAGTCTGATGAGAGAAAGAAAATTGTCTGGAGGTATCTGTTGTCACTGGTCTCTTTCTCTCTATTAGCATTTTATTGCTGCACAACATATTACCATAATATTAGATGCTTAGAATATCACTATGTAGTACTTTACAATTTCCCTGGGACAGGAGTTCAGGCACAGTATGACTGGGTTTCTGTTCAAAACCCACAAGCCCATTGCCATCTAGTAAATTCCAACTAACAGTGACCCTATAAGGGGGCTGGTCCAAAGGATTTCGGAGGCAGGAGCAGATGCCTCATCTTTCTCCCACAGAGCAGCTGATGGGCTCAAACCACCAACCTTTCAGTTAGCTGCCCAACACCTAACACACTGTCCCACCAGGGTTCCTTGTTTCCTGTTCAATGCCCACAAAACTAAAGCCAGTGTGTTGACAAGCTCAGTTGTCTGGAGTTGGGTTCTTCATCAAGCTCATATGGCAGAATTCAATTCCTTGTGATTGTAGGACTGACATCTTTGTGTCCTAGCTGGTTGTAAGCCAGGGGCCTTTCAGCTCTCAGAGGCTGCCAACATCCCTTGTCACGTGGCCTCCTCCGTCTCCAAAAACAACAACGTGGGCTCTCCCTTGTATTGAATCCTTCTCATGCTTCAAATATTCCTGACTTCTCTGACTCTGACCTCTGAACTCACATTTATAGAGTTCATGTGATTAGGACAGACCTAGCCAGGGTAATCTACCCATTTTAAGGTTAACTAGGACATTAAAAATTCCTTCACAGCAGCACTCAAATTAGTGCTTACTGGGAAGAGATATGTATATACTAAGGGCCAGGTATCTTAGGGGCTGTCTTAAAATTCTGCCTCCACACCCTCTACTTGCCTCCCTTCCTCATAGGAAGAAGAAAGAAGCTCATGTCTTTGGGTTTAGGAAAAGCGGTCACAGTTAAGTATCCAATACCAAAAGGAAGACAGCATGATTGGTATCCATCTAATCCCATGTGCAACTAAATACATATACATGGATCTAAGACCTGAATGGAGCAATAGAAAAGTAATGAGAAAATCTAGGAATCTACATGTACAATATAGGGGTCAGAAGACCTTCTTGACCAAGTATCAAAACTTAATATTTGTGACTCTAAAATGTGTCCTGGACTCCAAGTCTACATGATCCACCCAGACCATAACTGGCTGCACAAATGGATGAGTCGTCTAGCGTTGCTATTTCATCTTGATTCCAGTGTGTCTCTGAGAGTGTGTTCAGTATAGCAAAACGACCAGAACCTAAGTAGGTGAGCTATTAAGAGGAACTATTATCAGTGAGCATTATTCTAAGAGAATTCTAAAAGAGCATTTTCTCTCTTTCTCCCACCCTTACCTTGGCCACCCCTCCCTGTCCCTTCTTCCTCTTGCTGCTGTGATTCAGGCGCATTATACGGGAATTACTTGAGACTGAAGAAATTTATATAAAAGAAATTAACAGCATAATTGATGTAAGTAGATGGGGTGGAGGGGGGAGGTTAAGAATAGAGACAAATTGGAGAAGTTTTGTTGCATAGATACACATATGTTGTTGTTGTTGTTGTTGTTGTGAAGTGCCGTCGAGTCGGTTCTAACCCATAGTGACCCTGTATAGGGTTTCTGAGGAGCAGCTGGTGAGCTTGAACCACCGACCTTGCAGTTCAAAAGGCTTTGCAGTCTGGTGCATTAACTCACAGTACCACACCAGGACTCCAGAGACACTTATAGTTGCCATTTATTTCTTTTTGGAATTCTCACCAAGGCTTCAAGTCTTATAGTGATACATTTTGTCTCTTCATTAGAAGTATGACTCTTATCGTTCTTGATCCCTGAAACCAAATAGCTTCTAAAGGATTGTTCTAATTCATATTGATACCAGCAAAGCTCATTTATGTTCACTATGTCCTCAACAACAATGGCTATTATAGCTTAAAATGTTTAGGATAATTTAATAGAGGAGATCGTTTCTCATTGTTTTAAGTAAAATTTTTCCCTATTTGTATGATGTGGCACTGTGAGTTAATGTGCCAGACTGCAAAGCCGTTTGAACTGCAAGGTCGGCAGTTCAAGCTTACCAACTGCTCCTAGGAAACTATACAGTGTCACTATGGGTCGGAACCAACTCAAAGGCACTAAACAACAACAATTTTTCCAAGGAAATAGTTTTAAAGAAAAAAACTATATGCAGTTATTTATTATAACTTTTTTTACAACAAAATATCAGAAGCAACTCAAATATCCAATAATACTGGGTGCTTTTAAATAAAGAATTATATATATACTAAATGAAATACCATTAAAATACAAAAGGTAATTCTTTTAACTATGTATCAACATAAAAAATGCTTATGATATAAAAATGCTTGCATGTAAAACAATATACATCAAATTTTAAGCTGAGCCTAAAATATATATGGAAAGACAGAATATATAATTATATATAAATAGTAATAACATCCACAGAAAATAAGTTTTTAAAAATCCATTAAGGAAATATAATAAAACATACTGATCATTGCATTGGGTCATACAGTTGGCTATGTTCCTTTCTTTCACACTTTTGTTACAAAATTTTTTTTTTCTAATTTGCTTTTGCTGTGAAAATGGTTATGAAAATATAACCATTGAATTGCCCCCTTTTGAGAATAGAAATACAGGGGAAATTACATCAAAAGAAAGGATCTGATTAAATGGCTTTCAGGAGACATGTATGTGTATTCCCCCATTATTTCATTAATGTTTTGGTTCCTGGAGGAGCTAATTCAGATAATCTCTCATATATTCCTATCTGTTAAATCTACCTTGTTTCCACCCTCTGCAGGGATATATCGTGCCAATGGATTTTATTTGGCTACGGCATCTGATTCCAGATGTTCTTCAAAATAACAAGGACTTTCTCTTTGGGAATATTAGAGAACTTCATGAATTTCACAACAGGTATATAATAATCCAAATGATCAGGAAAAATGAAAATCAGGGAAGAGAAGGATAGAAATCAGGCTGGTGGAAGTTGGAGATGAAAGTACATAGACCTTAGGCAGGAGCAAGTGGTACAGAGTCGGTGGATTTGGTTGAATTAGGTTGGAGGATGAGAAGGAGTGGGAAAACTCCACAGGATCACTGAGGAAGAAAGGAAAAGACATTAATGGAGTCACGCATTCATGTTGTGTTCATTTGTGTATCTTCTGTTCTTTCATTGGTCCATATGTTCAGTATTTATTGAGTCCTTTCTCTGTGCCAGACATTGTTCTGCATTGAGAATATGAAGATGACACACAGGTTTATTTACCTATTATCTTTGAGTAATGCTGGAAACTAGGATGTTAGAAAGTGTTAATTAGTCAAATAAGCTGTCCCTTTAACCCAGGGCTACTTTGGTACTGAGTTGTAGAGAATTAGAAGAGAAAATAAGTGACTTTGAAAATCATCTTTCAATGGTTTTGTGTTATTGCTAAAGAAACTGCAGCTTGCTTATTTACTTTACCCCCTATGATGACCCCAAGATCACACATCACACATCTCATTCCAACCCAAACTCATTGCTGTTAAGTTGATTCCAACTTTTCACAATACCACAGAACAGATGTTGTTGTTAGGTGCCATCAAGTTGCTTCCAACTCATAAAGACCCTATACACACGGAATAAAACACAGCCCTGTCCTGTGCCATTCTGATAATTGTTGTTATGCTTGAACCCATTGCTTCAACCACTGTGCCAGTCCATCTCAATGGGGTGATTTCCTGTTTTTTGCTGACCCTCCACTTTATCAAGCATGATGTCCTTCTCCAGGGACTGGTCCCTCCTGACAACATGTCCAAAGTATGAGAGCCAAAGTCTCACCATCCTGGCTTCTAAAGAGCATTCTGGCTGCACTTCTTCCAGCATAGATTTGTTTGTCCTTCTGACAGTCCATGGTACTTTCAATATTCTTCTCCAGCACCATAGCTCAAGTAGGATAGAATAGAACTCATAAAGTTTCCAAGACTTAATCTTTACAGAAGTCCATTGCCACATCTTTCTTACACTCAACAGCTAATGTACTCAAACTGCTGACCTTTCACAACACTTAACCACTGCAAGGCCAGTATTCCTCGTATCTCACTAATGAGGAAAAGAAAACTACTTAGTGAATTGAAGCACAGTTATTTCCTAAACTCACATCCATTAATCACAAAATTGAAATGGAAATCCTATTTCTAATGCTTTTAACATATATGTTCCTGGAGAAGTTATACGGGCTCTTTGAGTCTCAGGTTTCACATTTGTAAAATCTTAGCCTGCAGAACCAATAAATAACATCATGACAAATGGGGATCAATAAATATTTGGATCAATAAATAGCATCATGATAAACAGAGAAAAGATTGATGTTGTCAAAGACTTCATTTTGCTTGGATCCACAATAGCATTTATGGAAGTGACAGTCAAAAAATCAAATGACATGTTGCATTAGGCAAATCTGCTGCAAAAGACCTTTTTAAAGTGATAAAGAACAAGGATGTCCATTTGAGGACTGACATATGCCTGATTCAAGCCATGGTATTTTCAATCACCTCATGTGCATGTGAAAGTTGGACAATGAGTAAAGAAGGCTGTAGAAAAATCAATGCATTTGAATTAGAGTTTTGAAGAAGAATATTGAAAGTACCATGTACTTTTTGGAAGGAGTACAGTCCAAATACTCCTTAGAAGTGAGGATACCAGACTTGTATCTTACTTAGAACATGTTGCTAGGAGGCACCAGTCCCTAGGGAAAGACATCATGCTTGGAAAAGTGGAGGGTCAGTGAGAAAATGGAAGACCCCCAAGGAGATGGATTGGCTCAGTAGCAGCAACAATGAACTCAAACGTAACAACAATTGTGAGGATGGAGCAAGATCAGTGTTTCTTTATGTTGGACACAGGGTTACTATGAGTCAGAACCACTGGATGGCACCTAACCACCAGAAGCTTGCAGGGCTTGGTGAAGTTAAATGAGATATTGTTTGTAAAGCACTTAGCTTGTCCTTTGTTCATAGTAAGCTCACAATAATATTAACGGCAGTGCAAGCGTCAGTATATCTAGTTTATGCCTGACTAGTGGGTGGTTTCAAAGTCATGCTGGTAATGCAATAAAATAGATATGCTTTCTTCCAAATCAGTGTTTTGAAGATGAGTCAAGAGCAATAAAAACGGAACATTTTTTTCCCAGATACTTTTAAAAGCTTATGAAATAATACTTAATACTTTATACATGTTAAAAAAAAATCAATGCACAACTATACTTCTTTTTCCCTAGGACTTTTCTAAAAGAATTGGAAAAATGCACAGAAAATCCCGAACTTCTGCCACGTTGCTTTCTCAAAAGAGTAAGTCTGTGTTTCCAATCAATAGCAATAAGTATTTGGTTAAAGCCAGCCCTTAATCTCCATAAGTAGCAAAGACAAGCTGAAACACCAGTGGTCTGAAACGCGTATCTGCCATTTTAATACAAAGTAGGAGTCCTTTGTAGTAGCATCTTTGCTCTACCAACTTCACTTCTTTACACTTTGGGATGACTGATAGCTAGGAGCAAATGAGAGCCTGGCTTCCTGCAAAACCCCATGAAGTGGAAAGCTGTAAGCAGAGGACCCCCAAAGCAGACTATCTTTTGCTTCTGAATGACTGAAACCTTCAGCGAGGTGTTAATTTAATTCCTGGAAGCATCATACATCAAATTTAAAGTCCTGTGCTAACATATTAACACTCTTAATGCGGAAAGGGTAGTCCTGGTGTTCATTTAATATTCTCAGAAAGTATATATTATTCCTTATTTTATAGCATAGAGGATGATTAGAAATTTTAAAACTTACTGTTTTAGGCTTATCACTCAACTATGAACTTCGTGTCCTATCCCTTCCTCAGCCTCAGCTCCTCCACCACCCCAGAGCTCACTGTTCACCTTTCCCTCTCCGTCTCCTATTTGGGTAATCAGTAGACCGCTTGCGTCAACGGTGCTCTCTTGGAGCTAAAGCTGGCACAGGGATCTGAAGTATTGAACATTGTTCTTCAAGAGCTTTCTTCCCTCCTCTTACCATGACCATGAAGATCATTTTGGTGCCTTCTACTTTCTTAAATATTTCCCCTTTCTTCTCTCTCCCAACTATATACACCTATTTCTCATTCTTTCTTTTGTGAGCTCCAAACAACTGATCAACAACCTTAAAATATTTACACAACCCACATTATGACAGATAAATCTAAGATAAGCTGAAATCAAGAAAACAAAATTTCCCCCTCAATTTCAGGGTATTTGATATAATGCAGAAAGAGTCTGGAATCCTTGTCAGAGTTTTGATCAGCTTAGAAGTTCCCTTCCAAGACTCTATAGCTTTTTCATCACAGCCTCACTATGAGGAGCAGCTTTTCTTTAAGTACCAGAATTATGTTGTATGCAATCTGGTTACTTTCCATTTAGCATTACCACTGTGGCATTATTACTGGGTTATATTGTTTGCATTCACCAAGCCACAAAACTCTAGTTTCACGGTCAAAAAATATTTTTTGTTTCCTTTATCATTATGGCAATGGAAAGTGGGGAAACATCCTGTGGGGAAAAATAAGAGAAAGTTATTAAATTAAAATTGTTTAAATATGAGGAAATGGTCAGGAATTGCTGACTAAACATCTTTTTTTGGATGAATTCCTCTCCTATACTTTCACAAAGCTTTTTATAATCCTGCCCCACTCCCCACCACCTCCCCTTGGAAGAAACTTTGTTGTTGTTGTTAAGTTGTTGCTAAGTGCCATCGAGTCGGTTCCGACCCATAGCGACCCTGTACAGGGTTTCCGAGGCTGTAAATCTTTACGGGAGTAGAAAGCCTCATCTTTCTCCCGCGGAGCGGCTGGTAGTTTCAAACCACTGACCTTAAGGTTCGCAGCCCGATTCGTAACCACTACGCTACCAGGCTCCTTGGGAGAGGCTTTAGAGATCATTAATCCAGACCTAACACCCTGCGTGTAATCCTATATGGTTTATGGTGGCAGGGACAAAATGGAAGTAATAAATTCTTATCACACAAAAATTTACTGCTCTTTGATAAGTTGGGTAAATAAAAACCACAATTACCTGAGGATCCCAGGACAGAGTTGGTGACTGAGCTACCTATTTATCAGAGGCAATGAAACCGCAGTTTACATTTTCTCAATAATGTTTGCTGAATTCTACTAATCTTGGAAATGGATTGACATGATCTTTTGGCTAAATGTTTTCATCAGACTCCACCTTGTAGCACCCAGGAAGATACGGTCCCAGACACTAAGCTGCATATAGATTCATATTTATTTGTCTGTCATTTGCTGTCGTTATGTGCCGTCGAGTTGGTTCAGACTCATAGCAACTCTATACACAACAGAACAAAACACTGCCTGATCCTGTGCCATCCTCAGAATTGTTGTTATGCATGAGCCCATTCATTGTTACAGACACTGTCAATCCATCTCATGAAGGGTCTTATTCTTTTATGTGAACCCTCTACTTTACCAGGTGTGATGTCTTTCTCCAGGGAGTGATTCCTCCAGGGTACATGAGACCAAGTGTCTCCATCCTCAGTTCTAAGAAGCATTCTGGCTCTCTTTCTTTCAAGCCAGATGTATTCATTCTCTGACAATCCACGGTATATTCAATATGCTTCGCCAACACTCTAACTCAAGTTCATCTATTCTTCTACGATCTTCTTTATGCCTTGTTCAACTTTCACATGCAGATGAGGCAAATAAAAACAGGTGCACCTTAGTCCTGAAAGTGACATTTTTGCTTTGTAACACTTAAAAGAGGCCTTTTGCACACTGCAATAAATTGTTTGATTTCTTGACTGCTGTTTCCAGGGACATTGATTGTGGATCCAAATAAAATGAAATCCTTGACAACTTCAATCTTTTCTCTATTTATCATTATATCACACACAAGTAAAATTTTGCTGAAGATAATTAATATATAGTTGCAATAGTACATTGACAGGGAGTGACCAGAAATTCAAGCCAGATTCAGAAGAGTACATGTTGTTAGGTGCCCTTGAGTCAGTTCTGACTCAGTAACCCAATTCAGCAGAACAAAACATGATTTGGTTCTGCACCATCCTCACAACTGTTGTTATATTTGAGCCCATTGTTGCTGCCATTGTGTCATTTCATCTTGGTGGGGATCTTCCTTTTTTAAGTTGACTCCACTTTGCAAAGAATGTTGGCTTTCTGCAGGGACTGATCCCTCCTGATACCATGTCCAAAGAACCAGAGATGAAGTCTCACTATCCTAGCTTCTAAGCACATTCTGGCTGTACTTCTTTCAAGACAGATATATGTGCTCTTCTGGCATTCCATGGTACTTGTAATATTCTTCCCAAACACTATTATTAAAGTGCATCCATTCCTTTCTTTTCTTTTTTTTTTTTTTTAAGTTTTTATTGTGAATTATGTGGGTTTACATGGGAGAACATCAGTTTTACATTCATCCTGTCATATTTTATTTCATTGCAATGATCACAGTCCCCTCCATGCATCATCAAATAACCAAAGGATACACCCCACAGGCCCGCCCCCTCTAATCCCCAGCCATAAGCACACAGCCGCTCTTCCTCTCTGAGTCCAGTGTCACCAGCTGCTCCATCTGTCCATGTCATCATCTCTG